TCATTTCATTTCATTTCATTTCATTTCATTTCAGATATTAGTTGCTTATTAGTGCTTCACACTCCAGTCCAGTTGGTGGCGGTAAATGCACCAGAAGTTGGTTTGCCATCCGCCATAAAACGTTATTAGAAGAAAAAGAAGAAGAAGACCTCCAGTGTCCCATAATCCTCCTCTCCTCAGTGCTTCGGGAAGCTGTGTGTGCGGAGTTTACGCTCTCTCGCAAGCACCATGACGGCGGCTAAGAGGAAGGCCGCTTTGCAAGATTTTTGCATGTGATTAGGAGGTTCTCTCCAACAGTCTGTGAAACTGGACTTGACGCATCTTTCATTTTCGGGTAAAGCGCTTGATTGTATTTGTTTACGGCTTCTTCAGCAGCAGTTTCAGCGGTGTCGTTATGGAGGCTTGTGTTACCAGTGTAACGTTAGGCCGCGCGGCACTTGCACGGCTCTTACCGCGTCTCTCTACAAATGAATGGCAGCTTGAAACACGCTAATGATTAGAATTCTCCTTTTTTTTGGTGGAATCTCGCATTCCGTGCTAGTAGCTGTAACTGTGATACTGTTAATGCACGTTATAGAGAGAGGCAGGCCGTCGCATTTGTACAAATGTGAATAATGTAATGCTTGTGCTAATGTTTACAATGTTCGGGGATATCATTTTTTTTCTCACGTGGAAAATTCACGGAAATTTAATAAATTGTTAAACATCATGGGAATTTGTGTGGTGGTAGTAAATTGTTCTGCATGGAGGATCGGAAAGCATAATCATCCATTGGGCTGCTTATAAATCTCAAGCTGTTTTTGAGACTTTGGTACACAAATAAGTAGAATATCATTGTGTATTTTTTTTTTATTGTAGATATTGGTACCTGATATAAATCTTCCTCTCTTTATAAGATTATAATCTCTTTATAGTAGTGTTAAAAATACATTTGCAGTGATGATAAATGGCTGGAAAAGTCATGGACGTTCATTGGTCAGGTGAAAAGTGTGGGAACCCACTCAATGAAAAACATAAAATACATAATCAGTATTTTATGCTGTAGGCTGAGGTCGAGACCAAGTCCAAAATCATATTGTCTGATAGAATTGTATATACCCTAAAAATGCAATGTAAGCCACCAAAGCGTCTGCCAAATGCAAAAATGTAAATGCCATATTTTCTTGGTCTTGTCATGGAGCTTGTGGAATTGGTCTTTACTTAAACTCAAAGCATCTTTGGTCTCAGTCTGGACTGAGTGGGCTTGACTACAACACTGCATTCAGCTTCATCATGCTGGCGCTTTTTGATTTGCTGTTTTTCTGACACAGCCCTGCAGAATGTCCAAAATCAGGCGGAAGGTTACAGTGGAGAATTCGAAGACCATATCGGACAGCAGCAGTAGCACGACCACCCCCTCCCGCAGGCCCAGCGTGTTTGAGAGACTCGGACCCAGCACGGCCAGTAATGCAGCAGAGGTAGGGATACTGGTCACCCACTGTGGTGCTTTGAAAACCTAGTGAGCTGCCTAACTAGACAGTATTACCCGTGCATAGGTAGTAGCTCACTTTGTTTTTGTTAAAGTGCTTTTGTAAAGTGTATAAGTGCAAAAGAATGACCCCCATTTGCCTCCCCTGCAGACTCATTGTAGAAACTGGTTAAAGACTGGGAACTGCAGTTACGGTAACACGTGTCGATACACACATGGAACCCCATCACGAGGAAAAGGCTTCTCTGGAACATTCAACAGGTGCGAATATAGTGAAGAGATGCTGTTTTATAAGTGTACCTGCTCCAATACCTGGCTGAGTGCTTGACTTTCGACATGTATTTTTGCTGTGCAGGTCAGCTGAGAGGCACACTGGGGATCTCCGGGAGAGGATGAAGAATAAGAGACAGGATGTAGATGGTGACACTCAGAAAAGAGATACAGACGAACCCACTTCACCCATAACCAGAGTACGACGCTCTTACAGCTTGGAGCTAAAGTTTCATTACTGAGCTTTGCATTTGTTGATTGATGTCTTTGACTTTTAAAAAAATTGTTTTTCTCGTTAGCAGCGAGATTCATCCCGAGGCAGACGCAGAGAGAAAGAGGATATTAAAATCACAAAGGAACGCACTCCAGCTAGTGAGGAAGAGACCGCAGATTGGGAAGCCAGTCGTGAAGGTGAAAAATTCTCATAAGTACCTGCAAAATTGATGTATATGATTAGAAGTCATTTAAAGGAATAGTTCACCCAAAAATTCTAATTCTGTCATTAATAACTCACCCTAATATCGTTCCAAATCCAGAATGTTGTTAATCTTCAAAGCACAAATGAAGTCTTCCTTTTTAATGAAACCTGTGAGATTTCTGTCCCTCCATTGAAAGTTCATTCCACTAAAACTTAAAAAGTGAATCCAAGTGTAATACAAGTCTTCTGAGAAGACATGATCACTTTATATGAACAAATTAAATTTAGTTTTTAAATTTGGAACTACATGAAGGTGAGTAAATGATGACCGAATTGTCATATTTGGGTGAACTATGCTTTGAACTTGTTTTTAAAAGCAAACAAGGATGATTGATTTTTGGGTTTTGAATGCAGTACAGTCTTTCCTCTCTCTTTCCTATTTTCCTACTCAGAATCTCTGAATGCTGTGCCATCTTTTTCTCTCTCTTTCCTATGTTGTCTCCCTGTCAGTTTTAGTCCAGCAGTTTTATATGTGCCATTGATTTTACTAGATTCCGATAACGGTGATTACGAGTTATCTCTTGAGATGAAGAGACAGAAGATTCAGCGAGAGCTGATGAAGCTGGAACAGGAGAACATGGACAAACGAGAAGAGATTTTCATCAAGAAAGAGGTATATTGCATAAAATTACATTAGTTTTTGCCGCATAAACTCCAAATATTGAAAGATAGTGAATGTCAATTATCCTAAATTTATCAACACAGAGTAATGGCAAGTATATTCTCAACAGGACCCAGTCCCTAAGACCAGGACGAGTAATACTTCAAAGGATAGGGTAGGTTATTTTAGCAAAGACATACGAAAGTGAACAGTAATTGAGATTTTAGGTATTATATAGCCTTTCAATACAGACTGTTATCTCTGGGTGGTCTCTGTGGTCTTGATCTGTTTTAGGCTTCCCCTGAGCACAGTAGTTCTAAGGGGTCACCCTTGTCGCGTAAATCCAGCTCACCCAAACATAGAGCAGGGAAGGGTGGGAACTCCAGCAAGAAAGAGAAGAAGTCCTCCACTTCCTCAGTCATCTCCTCTCCAGTGTCTGACCAGACCAGGGCAGAGGAGACAGACAGCAGGTTGGAAAATGATCAGCATTTAGTTTGAACAGGTGTTTATCAATTTAAATACTTGACTACTGTTTAATTTTTTGACCAGGTCATCTAAGAGTGGCCATGGCAAAAGAAAAGGGCCACGAACGCCCAGTCCTCCACCACCTGTCCCTGTGGAGAACCCAGTGACTGGGAAGAAGCACAAAAATAAACACAAGAACAAGGAGAAATGTGAAGACAAACTTAAAGAAGGCAAAGAACGAGGACGAGATACGGAGAAACACAAAGAGAAAAAGGAAAAACGCAGGTATAGTCACCTTCAAAAGAAATCCACAAAACTTCAAGTATCATTAACTAGTGTAATTTGGTACAAATTTTGTACTTTTGCAAAAATGTGACTATTCCAGTCTTTCTGGTTTATTTGGTACCCGCTAAGAGACGGCTGCTTTGAAATGTTCCTTTGCATATTTATGTTTGCGCTGAAGTGTCATAAGTTTCTATTTACAATGTGCTTTTGCAGGGTTGAGAATTTTGGCCAATCTGAGATTGAGAGGGATTGTGTTCCACTACTTTTTGCTATGGTACTGAAATTGGTACAGAGACTACTGGTGCCAACTACTGAGATTTTGGAATCATGACAGCACTAATAGATTGTCTTAATGTATTATATTTGCTAATATTGGTGGTGCTGGCCCAGGTACTTTTGATCATCCCTGTTTTATTGGTGTATGTGAAAACAAATAATAAAACAACATAATAATCTTTAACCTTTCCTTCATTGCAGGGATCGGTCAGATAGTTCCCATAAAGCCAAACGCTCAATAACATCAGAGGAACGTTCTGGAAGTCTTTCCCCACCCTCCAGGGAAGCGTCACCCCCAGCCAGAAGGAGGTCATCCTCCCCTAAATCCACTTCCCAAAAACAGTCCTCGCAGCAGAGGTGAGAAGAGCTGCACTTAAATAATTATATGTTAATCCAGTATCTCACAGATTAGGGCAGTGTCACTTTCAGAATCAGAATCAGAATGAGCTTTATTGCCAGGTATGTTTACACATACGAGGAATTTGTTTTCGTGACAGAAGCTTTCACAGTGTAACAGAATCACAGTGACAGAACAAAAAACACAGATAATAAAAAATAGAACAAGTAAATAAGGAATAAAAATATATAAATCGACAATTGTATGTGCAGGTATATTACAATAGACAGTTTTGTATGTACAGGTACTGTATATTATGTGCAAATTTTAGGTGTAGACTGAGTATGAGTGTTAGATAAATAAGTGTATGAGTGTATAAATAGTGTGTGTTCCACTGTTATTGTTAAGTGTTCATGAGATGGATTGACATGAAAAGATATAATAAAATATTTACAAAAATGTCCACATTTTCACTTAGGGGTGTACTCACTTCTGTGAGATACTGTATATATTTCACTTACCGTCCAATGTTGTCCAACAAAACAATACATATTAAAGGCTATGAAAACAAATAAAGTGAATGTAACCAATGTGTAAGCCTTTATATTATGTGCAAAAAAGGGTTAAAATCACATTTCATTCTAACA